ATTCTGACATTGTTATATATACAGGGTGTCCCAAAAAAATAGAAAACTATTGAAATCACTCATTGTTAAAATTTGAATGTGCACAAATTTTAATAGCCCATAGGGATTTAATGCAACTCAGTAAAATGCTAAATGCTTTGTGTCAATGCTTTGTGGGGCATGTCGAAGGTCATGGTAATTGAGATGCACATTTAAATATTGTTAATAAATATCATTTTCGCGTACGAGCAAATTTTACTGCATTATATGCATGCATAAAAATGCTTATGGCAAACATTTACACACTTGTGGGTCCCAACAGAGTGCTTAGGCATTCAAACTCTAACAATTACATTGTTATGGGTGATTTCAATAGTTTTCGGGGGGTTTTTGGGACACCCTGTATATTCTGATATTAACTAACTTTATTTTTAAATACTTGGAAAAAATTTTGATAAAAGAAAACAACGATAATGCCTTTAAATAAAGGCTGGATAGCCTGGATTTTATTGTTTTACTTCACCATTTCCTCCATAAAGTTTATACAATGACAATATAAACTGCTTATAATACCCTCATTACCTAATTTACCTTGTAATCATCTGTACTAAATATTGCAAGCTCGATTTCAAGTTCTATTATATAACTAGAAATACATGCATGCAGCAACCCCTCGCCATTTTAAACGAAGCAAAATATTTCGTGCGCTACCCAGACTTAACTTTCTACGCTAATATTATGAAATAACTCGTGCAAATTTTTCGGAAACAAAGACAGTCGTAAAGGTGAACAGAAATCACCTGAGAAATACGTACGTTTTTATAGTGTAGTTCTGTTTTCGGACTTTCAGTGCCTCAGTGGTCAATCTGTGACCTTCTTTCGCCTTTCATAAAGCCTTGATTTGTCGCATTAACACACGGCGTTAAAGGAAATCTTTTTTTGCGAATAAAACAAAAACAAACTGAAAATATTAAACCTGCCATCATTGCGTTGTGAAGCGTGAGTTGTATATTGTGTATATCTGTGTATTTACATGTGCATTCATGGATCGACGTTGCTATGCGACCGACACAAAGAGATTTTTAATTTATTTATCTTCAATTGCAAAGAAATTATTTTGAACACGATTTTGACGCGATAGCATGTACTATTCAGCGAAAGGAAAAGGCCATTTTGCAAGGTGAGATTCAAATAAAGTTTTTTAACCCCTCAAACGGAATTAAATTTATTTAACTCCTTAAATGGTGTTACAGTAACACCACATGAGGATTATTTTAACCCCCAAAACAGGGATTAAATTCTAACACCGAAAATGGTGTTATTTTTAACCCCAAAAAAGGGATTATTTTCGATTAAAAATTGTAACCCCTGTTTTTGGAGTTAAAATAACACCCTGAAAATAACAGTGCAGAAAAGGGTGGAGGCAAATTACCGCCAAAACAACGAAGCAAAGCAAGTTGACCCCACCCCAAGGAAAGGGATGCATGCAGAAAGTTTCAGAAAGTTTCGTAATACATTAATACAGGATCAGCGGTCTGCGCGACCGTATAAACGAACATGGGCAAAAAGGCACTTACAAAGCCCGTTAAAAGGCATAGATTATCGCCCTTGCTGATAATCTACACTTAACTGATATTAGTTTAGCAGAGTCACAATATTACCGCGCCCAGAAGAAGCTTCTCCATCACCCTGTTATAAGCACTTTATTTCACCCCCGGAATGCAAACGATCGCCCTTGCTGACCATGTGCAAGCTGAGAAAGAAATAAAATAACCGCACAACTCGAGCAGAAAACTCCCCGCACGTTTTACGCTCGAAAATTCATCCAAACTATGTTGATAGGGAAGAAAAACGTATATATTTGAGGAATGCGTTCGATTTCCAACGCCCCATAGTTCGAATTTGGGCATCAGAGTGCCCGTGTTCAGCTGCGTGGGAAGCGGCGCCTATTCGAAATGAATGAGACTTATATTTGGAAGTATCGAGTCCACAGAAGATTGGCAAACTCGTCACACGAGACTGGAATGCCCAGTTGTGATAGAAAAATAGCTCCGGGCTGGGTACCTCGCAAAATCATGTACTCCTCTAATAAGCGAACAGGACAGCATGCCGTTTGCCTGTAAATTTCCAAACTAAAAGGTCTACTGTTATAATTGTGCTTGAAGTCCTCGAAAGTCAACCTTATGCCTGCAACCCGGCCATCATCGGGAGATATTTTGGAGAGTTTTCGCAATTGAAGGGGTTGGTTATTTGACTTCTTAGTTATTTCTCCAATTCTCAGGAACGCGAAAAATGCTAAAGAGCACATTGCCCGGAATTGACATATTTGGTACGGTGACCCAGCAATATGAGGCGCAGCCTCAATAAGACGATTGAGAATTGGTAAAGTTATAGGCAACCTACTATCTAAGCGGAAGCCTTTCTTACCATACCCCTTTAAGATTTGCGTTACGTAGAAAACTCTCGTTGGATCCGGTAGATCGGACATGCGATGAGTATAACCAAGTGCAGATACATAAGTGTTAACTGTTGAAGAGGCGTACTTGAGGTCAAATAAGTACGCTATGAATAACGCAACGACTGAGGGCGACAAAGGCAAAGTGAACGATCCCTCATTAAAAATTGCCACATGAAATTGCGTAAAAAGTGCCCATGCCCGTTTATAAGTCGGCACTGAAGAAGGTTGCAAGCTACTTTGAGCTAATTGAGAAACTATAGTCGCCAATTTTCCGGCAGCAGGTGAAAGGGAATAGGCGTTGGAGCTCGATGCATGTCGGCCGGCGCCAATTGTGAAAATTTTTGGAGCTGTAAACGAGACAAACAATCAGCTAGGACATTTTGTTTACCCGGTATATGCTTTGCTTTGAATAAAATATTGTATTCTAAACAAACTAAAACCATCCGGCGAACGAGTGTCATGATATAAGAATCCTTTGATGTTTGCTTATTAATAACAGACACCAAAGCTTCATTATCCGTGAGAAACAAAATACAATGATTGCGCATTTTTGATCCCCATAAACACAGGCTGAGGACAATCGGATATAGCTCTAGAACGGCAATATTGTAACTCCGCCAGTCAGTTGGCCATGCGCCATAGCACCAGTCGCAACCAAACAGGGCCCCAAAACCAATACTACCCGAAGCGTCAGTATATAAATTCAAATGGGAGTTATTACGCCAATGGTTGTGCAAAAAGAATGATTTGCCGTTGAAATTCGACAGAACCGTTTGCCAGACACGAAGATCATGTTTCACACTTTGCGTTAAGCGAATAAAGAAATGAGGGTGTGAAATGCCATGCGTTAGATCAATTAAGCGTCGCAGGAATGCGCGACCTGGCATAATGACGGAACATGCGAAATTAAGTAATCCAATTAAGGACTGAAGTTCTTTGAGTGTAACCTTTTTACGAATTAAAAAGCGTGCGATAGATTGAACACATTTCTCGATTTTATCCATCGGCAATCGGGCCTGGAATTGTATTGTATCTAATTCAATCCCAGCGAACGTTAAGGTTGTTGAGGGACCCATGGTTTTTCCCGGTGCTATAGGCACGCCAATGAAATCACAAAGAGCAATGAATACTTGTAAGTTTGTTTTACAAGCAGAATAATCCGGTGCAACAAACAGGAAGTCGTCGAGCAAATGAAGGAGTTTGCCGATGTTAAGCCTTTCCCTAGCGATCCATTCGATAGCCGTACTAAAAATCTCAAAAGTGCGACACGAACTGGAGCAACCCATTGGCATTGCCCGGTCGTAATAATACAAACTCCGCCATTTTATGCCAAAGAGGTGATAATCCGCTGGGCTGATAGGAATGATTCGAAAAGCATTTTTTATATCTGTTTTCGCCAGGAAACAACCCCGGCCCGCTTTTTTAATAAGTTGAATAGCGTCGTCAACGATAGCGTACCGCACAGATGTTTCGAAATCGGGTATACCATCATTAACCGATGCTCCCTTTGGAAACGATAAATGATGAATCATGCGAAAATCACCCGGTTGTTTTTTAGGAACCAGGCCCAAAGGCGAAACACGAAAATTTGGAAAAGGCGGATAATTAAATGGCCCAGCAAGGCGAGATGCCTCTAACTCTTTCGTTAATTTTTGGTCAACCGCTTCTGGTTTGTCAAGAGCAGACCGTAAATTTATTGCTTCAAACGACTGTTCTGTGCCAGAGAAATGAATGCGAAAACCCGAAGTAAATCCGGAAATTAGTGTATCAACAATACTTGGATTATAACCTTCTAACAATATTTGTAAATTATGAAGTTTTACGGGTGTTGCCAACGGACGTTGTTGAAATAGGCCTAGGCGATCGATCAGTGGGAGATGGTCTGTTGTTGGCACGAAAATTACAATTCACGGCACGGTGCGATCCGTTGCATTTAAAACAAATGTGCTTGAAATCACAACCGGCACAAAACGTTCCGCGATAAACTTAAAACAATATCCCCGAGGAACAGACACTTTTGAAGGGTGGCGCGTATGATTGCTGCCTTGCGTGTTCGGCTTAGAAGTAGTGGGATATTGACATTTCAACCATAACTCCCAGTGAACAGTCGCCCTGGGAACGCGCGTGGCCTGTGTTTGGCGCAAAAATCGAAAATTCTCATCGTAGTAAAACCAATTATGACCCCTATTGGCCAAATCCTGGATGATTTGACAATATTTCATGAGCGCGGGGGACTCATGGGGGTACCGTTGTGTATAAATGGAAACAAAAATATGAAACGAACGAAGCCAATCGCTAATAGTTTTGACCCTTTTGGATTTCGCAGTCGGCTCAAGGAGAAGAGAAGCAGGTTGACCGTTGTCAGAGGAACGTACACTAATCTCGTATTTAGCGGCCGCGTCTGGGCCACCTGACAAAGTACTTATATCGACAAACTCCTCATTCCATATTTTAAGCTTTATTTTATCCGGAATCCGCGAATCAAGAGGCAAAGCGGCAGAGTGGAACGATTCCCGTGGACCCGAGGCACTTGAACATTGAAGAGAAAAAGGAGTGGTCTGACCTGTAAGGTTTTCTTGTATGACGTGAGCGCGTCGTTGACCAGAGAATCTGCATTGGGACCCTGGTTTGAGATTTCGATACCGGAGGTAGAATCCGTTGGGGCAGACGCCATTGTGGATGTGGAAGACGCAGAGGTTGGTAAGAAACCAGCTAGCTTTTGCGTGACTGCCTCGTAACCGAAGACACCAGCGTTGAGATAAGCTCACTCGAAAGAGAGGGCAAAGTCACTTGACTCACGGGCACAGTTGACGTTGACGGGGCGGCACCAACAGATACAGCATTGGACGAACTTCGAGTTCGACGAGATGTTGTTGATTGGTTCTGAACAGACTCTCGCAAAAACGGCTGATGGAGCGGCGACACGCTTAGAACGACGTACGGGTGGCATTCTAAGAAATAAAACTTTAAAAGCAGAAATAGATACTTATGGCGTAATGAGTTTTTAGATAGTAAAGCAACCGCACCCAAATTTTGTCGTTGTGCGAGAAATAAAACTATCCCCCGTAATGGCGAACATTCAATAGTGAGGATTCGTCCGTTATTTGTCGTAATTGAAAATTGGAACTTGTGAAAGATGATTAGAAAATCAAACGTCAGCAGGATGAACATGGCAGATCCGAAGACGCCGCACCGTTCACCCTGTGGCCAACAAAACTCACAAAAAGTGTGAGAACTCTCATACAGATGAGAGATAAAGACAAAATCAAACGTCAGCAGGATGAACATGGCAGATCCGAAGATCGCCGCACCATTCACCCTATGGCCAACAAAAAACTCACAAAAAGTGTGAGACCTCTCATATAGATGAGAGATAAAGACAAAATCAAACGTCAGCAGGATGAACATGGCAGATCAGAAGATCGCTGCACCGTTCATCATATGGCCAACAAAACTCACAAACAGTGTGAGAACTCTCATATAGATAAAAGATAAAGATATAATAGATAAAGGCGCTAAAGCGGTATTTAAGAAGTAATCACGAGTAAAGTTTGTCAAATGTCAAGGTTATATTATAAAAAATAATGTAATGTACAACAGCTTGTTATATATATATATATATATATATATTATATATATATATATTATATATATATATATATATATAATATATATATATATATATATATATATTATATATATATATATATATATATATATATTATATATTTATATATAATTATATATATATATATATATATATATTATATATATATATATAATATATACTGTCGTTGTCAAAAAGGTTGTCCTGAGCAAGTATATGTATATATCGATCACGTGACATTATTATGCATCAACACGCGTGGGATTGTACAAGCGTGTTAATTGCGAGTTCGAGTATAGCAAGGTGAACGATTAGAAAATGCCAAGACCATATTCGGATGATTTAAGGTGGAGAATGGTTTATCAACGACTGTTCTACGAAAGAATCATCGACGAAATTGCAGCACAGCTATTTGCTTGTTCAAAAACCGTCTATCGTACTCTCAGCACCTTTTGGAACACGGGTGATGTAAAGCCTTGCCGTATGGGTCGTCCAACAGCGAGGGTATCTTTATTCCCACACAAAGAATATATTATCATGGACTGTTTATTGCGAACGCCGCAAATACAGTTGAATGAGATAGCAAGCTATATCATTAATGCTACTGGCTCTGCATTTGGCCCGGAGACACTGTGCCGAGCTCTCTATAGGCTTGGAATAACACGCAAAAAGGTACGAACATTATGACATTATTTTAGTTGGAAGATATACTTAATACCGCATACTGGAAATCATATAACTATATTAATAAGACGCAAGCCATTCCACCTTTTTCCAATTTATTACAAGATTGTAGTTGTTCTTTATCAACTCTTCAAGCACATTTTCTTCTTCAGATACAGAGAATTGCCCTTCAGCGAAGAAACGATATTGGGCTACAATTCATGGCCGAAAATCAGCCTTTTGACCCAAACCTGCTCATTTTTCTCGATGAAACAGGCATTGTGTGTACTAAATAATACCTTACTGTAACTGGATTGCACAAACTAGTAGATCTTTTTTTATTTTGTTCTACGTTTTAAAGATAAACGACTTGCTCGGCAATATGGATATAGTGCTCGTGAGATACCGCCTGTTGTGAGCGACTATAGCTATGCACGGTGGACACCTCGCTATTCCATTATTTCGGCAGTATCGTGTGATGGACTTCTTGCGAACTGTTGTTAAAGAATCCTGAAGAAAGATTTGAAACACGCTCCTTTATCTATTTTCTTGATGAACAGCTTTTATCAGCTATGAATCGATTTGATGGGGAAAACCCGCGATCCGTTCTCGTTATGGTTGAGATTTGAATATAATTATTGCAAATTCGCTGTTCTAACATATGTCTCAAGGGATGACTGAATTTGTGATCATGTTTTGATCTATTAATATCTGTTTAAACAAAACTTGTTGATGCACAAAGATGCAACTGCTAAAACTAGTAATATGCATATTGTTTAACAGATAACCACCCAACACATAATGTACAAGAAGTTGTAGAACGAGTGTACGACAGTCCTGATTTAAATCCTATTGAAGAGGTTTACATATAGCTTGCTATCTCATTCAACTATATTTGCGGCGTTCGCAGTAAACAGTTCATGATAATATATTCTTCGTGTGGGAATAAAGATACGCTCGCTGTTGGGCGACCCATACGGCAAGGCTTCACATCCCGTGTTCCAAAAGGTGTTGAGAGTACGATAGACGGTTTTTGAACAAGCAAATAGCTGTGCTGCAATTTCGTCGATGATTCTTTCGTAGAACAGTCGTTGATAAACCATTCTCCACCTTAAATCATCCGAATATGGTCTTGGCATTTTTTAATCGTTCACCTTGCTATACTCGAACTCGCAATTAACACGCTTGTACAATTCCACGCGTGTTGATGCATAATAATGTCACGTGATCGATATATACATATACTTGCTCAGGACAACCTTTTTGACAACGACAGTATATATATATATATATATATATATATATATATATATATATATATATATATATATATATATATATATATATATATAGATAGAGAATTTATAACATTTTAATTGCTTGAAGAATGGCCCCCCGATAACTTCGGTATAATTTATATTGCCCGATTCGATTAAAATGGACCCCGTCAGGTAGAAATGGCGTCACGGAAGGTCGTATAAAGCCATGGTGTGTCCATAAAAACACTCTCGGGACCTTCTCTAAAACTACCTGTAGATAATTGTTCAGCATTAAACGCTGCTTTTCAAAAAGAGGGTTGTTCTTTCGGGGGGAAATCATGCATGCGCATACCAATTTTACGTGATATTGATCCAGCAATAAAGCAACCAAGTCGTCAATGCGTGACCCGACTGTTTCGGGCCTTAAGGAGGACAAATCGTTCGTGCCTATCTCCAGAATAACAATATCTGGGGCACACCGAGAAACTACGCCTAAATCAAATTTGCGAATCTTCTTCACTGTTCTACCCCCTATACCATGTAGAGAAACTCTCGCTGTGCCCTTGAGTTTAAAGGTTGGGCACATGCGAATATCCCGTTTATGTTTCAGGTCGCACTGTAGACGACGAACAAATGAGTGTCCCAGGACCAAAACTTTTGGGGGTACCATTGTGTATTCGTAGCTACTATCTATATGTATATCAATATATAATTATATAGAAAAACAAGTAGAACACTTCTGTAAATACCTTTCAACTTTAAAGGAGATCTGTCTTTCGCGATGTCACGCTTAAACTGACCGTTTATGGTTTGGGTATTCGGTCTTTGTTAGTTTTCGATTTGCTGCTGGCCATTGACCACCTTTCCCATATTGCGTGCCATCCATTACCTGTCGGTCTTTTAGATAGGACGCAAAGCCCATAATATAAGATCTTTAATTATCGTCGACAAGGCGTATCCCCTTGGGGGAACACCTTGCCTTAATAGTCTATTTATAAAATCACATCACATAAATTTCTTATTTCCTTCGTAAATATTTTGTTTTATATTATACTGTACAATCATTCACATGATGGTTATAGTCGGTGCAAACACGCAGTTTGCTTGCAACTGCACATACCATGTTGTTTTTGGAACTTAAAATTTATGCCAAGAGGATTTACTCGTTGTGATGTTTAATATTGGAGATAAGTTGTTTTTTTTAATTACATTGTAATAGATTATATTTACATATCTATAGAGTATATGTTTGATTAATTAATTTCATATACTATTTACATATCTTAAAAATACATATTATATAAAATAATGCTAAAAACCTAGACTAAAAATTAATATATTCCATAGATACAATGTTCTAAATGACCCATGCACTTTCTAGTTAAGTCTTTAAAAAAATAAAAAAAAAAAAATGTTCGCATAAATCTAAGGTAAAGAGAATTATATACAATATTTAATGCTCATACAGTAAGACGTTTATTGTAGAGTTTCTCAATATGTACACCGTCCTTCCACTAATGCTAGATCGATCTCTCCTCCAAAGGAGGAGATTGGTCGATGTAAAGAAGATCTAGCCCCACGCAAGCACATAATTGCTGATCGTAACAGCGAAAAACTGAGTCTACATCTCATCCAGTTGATTGTCTTACTATACGCTTTATCATGTTTATCAGCGATTAAGATGCAATTCTCTTATAAACTACGTTTGCAGTGGAGCCCATACCACCCGCTGTTGAGAATACAAGAGGGGAGAAAGACCCATGTTCTACTTCACGGATTCGTTCATCATATGCTCTTCTTTTCTCAAGCTCATTTCTGCGATAGCATTGGGAGAGAGAGGTATTACGATAGCTCGGTGCCAAGGGATTAAAAACCCTAACATCAAAAAATGCACGTTGCCGATCACCTCCCCAAAAACTTTCAGCTACGATGTCAAGTCGAGCACCATCCTCTTTATTGGCTGTTCTATACGAAAACACTTCATTGGTTATAGGTTGTAGGCTTGGCTCAGTACCAACTCCATGACATACCTCAGTCAAGAGTTCGGCGGTGATGTCTCGTAACTCATTGTGCCGAATTGACGGAAATCCACCCCGTGAACAGCTTAGAGCATGTTCTAGGGTAAGTTTCTGATCACAGACGCAA